GAGAAGCCGTTCAGACAAGATACGTTGAAGTTGAAGCATGGGACTTATGATAAGCTCGATGACGATGGAATCGTCGCGCCTGGCGTTCGAGTTTCGGGAGAGGATATCATCATCGGAAAGACTGCACCCATTGCACCAGATGCCGAAGAACTTGGCCAACGCACAAAGGCACACGTCAAACGAGATGCATCTACTCCTCTTCGTAGCACGGAGAATGGTATCGTCGACCAGGTTCTTATCACAACAAATGCTGAAGGTCTTCGCTTCGTCAAGGTGCGAATGCGTACTACCAAGATCCCGCAAATTGGTGATAAATTTGCTTCCCGTCACGGGCAGAAGGGAACAATCGGTATCACCTACCGACAAGAGGATATGCCGTTTACAAGGCAAGGCATAGTGCCAGATTTAATCATCAACCCTCACGCGATCCCGTCGCGCATGACAATTGCTCATTTGATTGAGTGTCAATTGAGTAAGGTATCTACACTCCGAGGTCTTGAGGGAGATGCTACACCTTTCACCGAAGTCACCGTTGATTCCGTATCCAAACTCCTACGTGATCATGGATATCAGTCTCGTGGCTTCGAGATCATGTATCATGGTCATACTGGACGCAAGCTCATGGCACAAGTATTTCTGGGTCCAACATACTACCAACGTCTTCGTCATATGGTCGACGACAAAATCCACGCGCGAGCCAGAGGGCCCGTTCAGATTCTGACCAGACAGCCAGTGGAAGGTCGTGCCAGAGATGGTGGATTACGTTTCGGAGAAATGGAGCGTGATTGTATGATCTCTCATGGAGCAAGCGCCTTTTTGAAGGAGAGATTGTTCGAAGTTTCGGATGCTTTCAGAGTCCACGTGTGTGATATCTGTGGACTCATGACACCCATTGCGTAAGTTTTAGTCCTTGACATCTGGGATATTTTGATACTAATACATTTCGTAGTAAACTTTCTACCCAATCCTTTGAGTGCAGACCTTGCAAAAACAAAACCAAGATCTCTCAGATTCACATTCCGTATGCTGCTAAGCTACTCTTCCAAGAGTTGGCATCGATGAACATTGCATCAAGAATGTTCACCAAGAGATCCGGGATTTCAGTTCGTTGAGTGAGTGGTGGGGAAATGGAGTGGAGATGTAAGAATGCATGATGAGGAAAGGAGATACGGTTGAGGAGAGGAGAAATCTTTGCATACGGGGCGTTTGGAAAGGAGCGAAAATGCAAGAAAGGGGTTTCGACAGCATTTGCATATAATTGCTGTGGGGTCCGTTTGCCATGGGAAGCTGCAAACCAAACGAAAAGACCCAACAGAATCTTTGGGCACTCTTTTTTCAGATGCCTATGTTGTACCATATCTAGATTTTAGGGAAATGAATGCAGATGATCTAAATTCTTGTGCCTCCTGTGATTTGCATATGCTGGCAATTTTGTCCGAGAAATGAGCCTATTCGCCGCCCAAATGCCTGCTGTTGTAAAGGTTACTCGGATTGTACACCGAGGAAGATCCGTAGAGAAAAGGAGAAGAGAGGCGTGTCATCGCTGTTTGTCCAGAACTGTTCCTCCATCATGGACACTTTGTATTTTCTTATATTCTTCCTCCAGGGCTTTCTGCATCTCGAAATCCAGCTGCCGTTCTTTCTTCAACCGCTGCTGTTCTACATCCCGAACTACACCTTGATGCATCGCCTGGCTACGAGTTAGTACACGTCCTGCCAATTTTGAGAGAGTAGAAGACGCACAGCTTTCTCAGCTTGTTGGGCGTGGTGTACGAAAACTATTGTGCCAATTGCGAAGAGGGACGTACCCGCGAGGGTGAGCTTTGCTGTACGAGACATGGCGATTTCCTCGTTTCAGGCCTCTGGTTGAATCTTCTCTAACTGTGCAATTGAATTTTAGGGCAACATGGCAAATAATCTGGAGCTCTCAAGAGAATGGAAGTTGCGATGGAGTGAACCGAATATGGACTAGCCGAGCAGGGGTCTTGCAGCTTCATTGCTTTTGGAGCGAAGCTACCCTCAACTCTCTATCTTCACCTGCGTCTCCAGCGATAACGAGCTTCAACCACACCACGCCCGCTTTGAAGGAAAGAAGGAGCCTCGCAAGATGGTATGCTGTTCTACAGATTTCTGCGGACATTAAGACTAATTAAATTACGTAGTCGGCACAGAATTCGGCGGGTATCCAGACTCTACTCGATGTAGGCACCCCTCGCAAGAGACTATGGTGGGAATTGAGAGGGGGGAAGCTGATGGAATACAGGCTGAAAGGGAAGCCCAGAAGATTGTTCAGAGAGGTAAGTTTGGTGTGCAAATGCAAGGTGAATTGATTCACGGAGTGCTAACTTTACTTTAGCTAGAGAATGTGAGTAAAGCTCCACACAAGCACATACGAGCTCGAAAAGGAAGTAAAACTGACCAGAACAGACCGCACGAAGCGAGTAAAGGAGGCAAGAGACGAGGCAAAGAAGGAGATTGAGGCATACCGGAAATCTAAAGACGAAGAGTTTAAGAAGTTTGAAGCTGAAGTACGTTAAGCTTTGGCACTGCCCTTGGCCCCCCTTTGTAGGGAATTACAAATACCATGAATATCCAATCTGTGAGTATATGTTGATTATGTGGTCTATAGCACACTAGCGGCAACAAAAAGGCAGAGGAAGATGCGAATAAGGATGCTGAGACCAAGATGAAGGAGATCAAGGAGGCTGGCAAGACGGGACAAGACCAGGTTGTCAAGGATCTATTGAAGGCTGTTTTCGAGATTACACCCGTCGTTCCAGAACGTATTGAGAAGCCAAAATAGACTAAAGATTTAAGCTCTTGTGGAAAGTAGGATTGATGAGTGTACGACCTAGAGCTATTTTGGCTTGATGGGTGCTTGCATGAGCGTTGAATGGCACTGGACCTGGCATGAGAACTTGACGGACCTACAAGGGAGCTCCGCAGTTGTAGTATAGTGGGTAGTATTACAATGATATCCTTGTTGTTGAAGGCATGCAGATACCTCTTTTCTCGTTTTGTGGCACTCATATTGCGTAGACATCTTGCCAGTACAGCTCATTATGTCCTTCTCACATCTTAAGCCTTCCGGCTGCTCAACTGAAGCTATTCACGGTACTCTGTTGCTGCTGCCTCGGGTCACATGCTTGCAGGGGTCTGCCAGTCAATCGACGTCACTGACACCATCGCGAAAGTCTCTATGACTTTTCCTCCAACACGACTTCCTCAAAATGGCATCTCCTCAACAACGCTTCGAAACTCAATGTTTAAGCTTCAGCGATGACGATAGTGGCAGCTCGTGCAGTACGCGCGAGATGGAGTTCTCAAGATTTGCGCCTCGGCGCAAGAAGCATCATCATGTCATCGACTTATTCAGCCAGGACCTTTTCCTGCTATCGATGTATGCGTATGGCAGAGAAAGAAAAGAAGACAGACGGGGACCCGAGAATCAATATCCTAGGCAGGGCCATTGAGGATGACTTTGCAACAATTCGGGATAATTATGGTAATATCCTAGGACTTTTCTCACCTTGAACGTTACTGATGGAGACAGCTACGCCAAAACACCCAATTGTCCTTGCACACGGTCTCATGGGCTTCGACGAGCTCCAGATAGTTCCGAAATTCTTCTCTATTCCGCCGGTTCACTATTGGCGTGGAATCACAGATGCTATGCGCGCAAATGGCATTGAAGTCATCACTGCCTCAGTCCCTGCTTTGGGTTCGATCGAGGAGCGAGCTGCCAAACTAGAACAAGATATAGCTGCGAAGGCGAATGGAAAGAGTGTCAATATAATAGCTCACAGTATGGGCGGTCTGGACGCTCGATACATGATCTCGCGCTTACAACCTGATAACGTCGAAGTTCTTTCCCTGACCACGATTGCTACTCCGCATCGAGGGTCTGCTTTCGCGGATTATTGTTTCCAGGAGATTGGTCCCAGTTACCTGCCCCATTTCTACAAATTCTTCGATAGGTTGGGCATTAGTACGGGAGCATTCAGCCAATTGACAAGAAGGTATATGGCAGAGGAGTTTAACCCCAAGACGCCAGATGCCAGAGGAGTCAGATACTTTTCCTACGGAGCTACGTTTGATCCTAGCATATGGAGTGCGTTTCGACAACCGCATAAGATTGTGCAAAAGCTGGAGGGGGTCAACGATGGATTGGTCAGTGTGGAGAGTGCGAAATGGGGTACATATAAGGGGACATTGGTGAATGTCTCTCACTTGGACTTGATCAACTGGACGAACAGGATTAGGTGGGCTGTTTCGCAGCTGAGTGGGAATGAGAGGAAGCAAGTTTGGTGATCAATTTCCGTGACTTATTTGCTGACTTGGAAACAGGTTCAATGCCATTGCGTTCTATCTCGACATTGCAGATATGCTTGCCAAAGAAGGTCTATAGAGCGAGTGGTGCTAGAAGAAATTCGTAATGACCTGAGAAGGCGAGTATTGTATGAGTACTCTGTGTATGTTTGATAGAAGAGTAAGACTCTGAAGATCAACCCTCATTAACCTACTTGACATGATGGAACTCGTTCTTTGTTCTTGGCTATTGCTCTTTTTCTTTACTTGAAATTGTGCTAGCACCTCGTTCAGTCTACTCTGGCCTTGAGTTTTATCATCGCGTTGTTATTTTCTGTCTTGCCATTCTGCTCTGTCCCTCGCTCAGTAACGCTTGTCAATGCTTTGCTATCTGCTGGTCTCTACGGGATGGTCTTGCAAAAAGTGTGGTGGTGCATGAATGTTCTGGGAATTAAAGGACATTGGCAAAAGTGGCATAGAGACTAGTCTTGCCTCTTGTCAATGTTCTATCATAGTTTGAACTTTCACTTGCTGTGGTAATTCTACCTAGGCAGCACTCACACTCGCTTAAGACTCTCATTTCAATAAAGCACTAAAAATGACATTCAATCATGAGTCCTTTTGCCCAAAAAGATTGCAAGCCTCTACTCTTGCTGTCATTTGCAGGGAATAGCCCCAAAAATTCTTCGTTTTGGTCAGTGCAGGAGTTGAACCTGCTACCTTCGTCCATCGAGCTACTTACTTCCCTATCCAAAATCGCCAAGGCATCTATGTACACGGGAAGAAGAGGTAGATGCATTGGAGACGCGACTACCGTTGCGCCAACTAACCTCACATTATTGTTGGAGGACAAAGTTGTTATTCTGCTACGTACGAGCCGAGACGTGACAGAAGTGGGTCTGGGTTCGAACAAGGGTTGTTGATAGTGAAGAACGAATGAAAGCTTATCTTCACTGATTTCTGAGATAGAAAAAGGATTCAATGGGATGAGACAATCTTTGTTCTCTCCGTCAGCATCAGTTTTCGTTCTCTTACACTTTCCTGGTATTGCTTTCTCTGTCTTCCAGACTTTCTTCCAAAACAAAATCTACACGCTCCTCGACCATTTTTCTTCACATTTTGCTTTTAATAATACCGCCCTCGCTATCCATAATTATTCTAGTTTATACATCTCTAATATTCTCAGCCAACACCATGTTAATCCTCATCAGCCTTTTCGTCCTTGGCCTTAGCATCATTGTCGGCTGTGTTACAATCGTGTTCTCTACCCTTTTTTAAACTTGTTCGGGCTTATTGGTGGCATTTTCCTCGCAGTTTCGGGAGTTGTGCTTACCTTTCTGAGACTCATTTGTGGGTGGTTGGCCTTCAAGATTCTCAAGGTGGTTTGAAGGTGGGTGGTGAGCTTAATGTCTGCTTTGATGGGTCTCATTCGGGGCTTAATTTGTAGTTTCTTTGGTTTCATCCACTGGGGTTTTCGGGAGGCACGAAAAGAAGGTCTTAGTGAAGAGTCCGAATAAAGTCAGGTTTGAGGAAAGCAAGGATAGACATCAATCGGGATAGTAAGGGAATTGGGTGGATTTGTAAGCCAGAAGTACATGCGTGGAACCAATTGACACCGAATAATTACATATTCCCATTGCAGATACGCAAATGTGCATATTGTGCAAACTCTTGGCTATGTACAGATTCATGAAGCGGCCAGGAAATACACAGGTTTTACTTCCACATACTGGCAATTGTGGTTTAGCTGAACCATTTAGCAAACCACGAAATAGCTTGGTCTTCAGCTTGCTGAGCACAATCCATTTCGTGCTTATCATCCGGATGTGTTCGTACGCTGAACCCATGACGAGCCCCTGGAATTATAACGACTTCATGCTCGCCCACCTTCTTGTTTTCCAAAATATCCTTCATTTGTTGAATTAATGGTGCTCCCATAGCCATGTCGTTTTCGCCAACTGCTACACTTATCGGGATAGTGATAGCGTCGATGTCCTTAGGGACTTTGATCGACGAAGGATGAGCCGTGAAAGCACAATCAATCAAAGGCTCGAGAGTAGATGAAGTGGCCTGGGATTCGTGTCTGTAGACTCGGGAAGAGGGAGTATCCGCGGCAAGGAGCATTGTATGTTTCCCACCCCAACAAAAGCCAGCAGCGCCAATTTTGAGATTGTTTGTTTCAAATGGAGGTGGGGAGGTTCGCAGAGCTTTGACGAAAGAGAAGACGCGAGGTTGAGTGACGGCGAATCGAGCTCTGTATACCCAAGGGATTGCCAGATACATTGCCTGAAGGACGTAGAGGGGCTTCCAGACAAATGCATTGAACCACGATCCGGGCTCCGTGATTTTGTCCATGAGTGGAAGAACGCTTGGAGTCAGAGATTTCCCTGTTGAGTAGTTAGAATTGTTCCAAGACAAGCGGGGTCTATGCTACCATTCATGAAATCGGGACAGTAAACCAGGAATCCTCCACGCTTTGCGTAATGGTCACTCAGAACCCTGTTGTTCACAAAATTCCAGCCAAAAGCATCGGTAATGAAGACGATTACACCCTTGGGCGTAACTCCTTCGTCTGGCTCTGCAACATAAGTAGCAAGACCATGGATAGTGGTTTCTCTGCCCGTAGGATGGCTTGTCGAGACGCCTCCTTGGAAGCAAGCTGGACAGGACATCTTGAGTCTTTGTAACGTTACGAGAGGTAGAGACTCAATTGATGCGGAGACCGAAGTTGGAGGATAGACAGCTAAACCGTAACTTCAATTGATCGTTGCAGTCGTCTGTTGCTTATCGCAACCTACCTCGGCGCTCGGAGCTCTATTATCTGCTGCCTCAAGACGGCATAAGGTCACCCCCCGGTTTAATAATGATGTTGATGCGGGTCTCGATTGATGGCTCTCTCGAAACAAAGCCAGAACTCGAGAGAAAGTTTTCCCGATTGACTCAGGAAGCTCTCCAACATGAAATTGCCGTGAGTTAGACAGGAAAGCGGAGGACATGCAGGCGTTATCTGGCCCAATAGGGCCTTAATCCGTTTTCCTTTTACCGTAGTTCTAGCGGGCACGGCTCGCTTGCACGCCAACGCGAACTTCAGCTTTTCTTCGCGTCGTCACGTCCCGCCAGAGACAACTGCTGAATCTCTCCCCACACTCTACCGTGTTGCTCTCCACGCCCTACGTTCCATTCGCAACGTGGGCAACCGTCGCCATGAGATTACGCTTGACGGTCCGGCGCCATCGCCTCCCGGATACGCTCGTGATCTGGGCAATTGACACCACTTCCAATCCCACCATCTATCATCTGCTCGAGCAAGTAAACGATACCATACCAATCGAGTCCGACGGCCAATGGGGTCTGGATGACTACGCTGTCGAAGTCAAGGGCAGCACTGGAGCCAACTTCGAATGTCTTCATTTCCAGCATTTGGCAAGTGTAATCAAAGATGAAGATGAAGTTATGTTCGTATTTCCTCCTGCATCTACCTTAGTGTGCTGCAAATTGTTTTTATAGGACTCACATCTTCTAGAATACGCCCTCTGCTCAGCCAAGACGTTAAAATCCGTCGAGTATCTGGACGCGTGCAAATATCTACAGATGGCAGACATCTTGTCGATGGCGTTCCATGGGGCAGACCACTATTGAGAAAGGCCGGAGACCGACCTGCTGTCAATATACCACCACGAAAGAGGCAGAGAATCGAGTATAGTGAAGACGACGAAGACCCGGAAGGATTCCAGGCTCTCAAAGATAAGGAAGCCGAAGACTCTGAGCCAGAAAACAATCGCCAACTCGTCTTGCATGCCGATTTTGAGGATGATGACGAAGAGGATGATGACGAAGAGGATGATGACGAAGAGGATGATGATGACTTCGCTCCTGGAGAAGATGAAGATGCTGAAGAAGATGACGGAAGTGAGGAAGATCTTGAAGAAAACAAAGATGAGAAAGAAGTAGAAGATGAGGAAGAACCTTCCGTCGACTTGAACTCCCACGGAGATGCTGCTGACGACGCCAACGAGCCTGCCCTTGCGGACGTCAAGGACCAAGCCACGCGAACGAAGATCCGTAAGTTGCACTCTGCCTTTCCTAAGTCGCCTCTGGCTGTGTGCAAGTATGTCTTCAATGGTTCGGAAGATATTGGAGAAGCCTATGAAGCCATGGCTCGAGGCTTCATGCCCGAGAAGCCAAAGAGTGCGGTTACTGAGATCTCGCAAGGAGTCAATGAAGACAAATTGTCAATGCCCAGAATTCGGTCAAAGGCAAAGACACCTTCAGTCCATGAACCAGAAATCTTGGACAGTATGCAGGTCGAGCCTGACGAGAATGCTCTTATCGATTACTACGACCAGAATGGACTTCCGCTAGGTTCTATCAAATCTGGCAAAGCTCTATCAGTCATGGCAGAGGCTCTGAAAGGCTCGCCTGTTCGACCACCGACGGAGTCAAGGAGACCAGCCTCGGTTACTAGCAATAAGGACGTCAGATTTGCTTTAGATGCCAGTTTCTCGGAAGGTCTTACCTCAACCCCATTCATAGACAAAGAGTTTCAAGTCGAGGAGGAAGAAAGTGAAGAAGATAGCGATGATGAGAGCTCCGAGTCCAATGAGGAAGATACTAGTAGCAGTGAGGATAGTAGTGATTCTTCTGACGACGAGGCTGAGGAAGCAAAGGGGTCAAGTGATGGCACATCATCCTCCGAAAGTGCCAGCGAGAGCAGCAGTGATTCCTCGAGTGATGATGATGAATCTCCTGAGGAGACCTCGAGCAAAAAAGAAGCTACTGGTACTGCTCCTGTTATCATCAAAACAACATCTCCATTTCAGACCAATAAGTCAACTGCCCAACCAAGAGCATCTCCTGGACATGGGAAGCCCCGGACCCATGCAAGAAACAAACGTAGGAGAGATGCGAACATGCTGGACAGGTTTGTTACTAAGGGGATACTGCCAGCTGGAACGGAGTTGGCTGATTTCAGAAAGCTGGACGTAGATGATACGACACCACCAGACATTGCATTAGCTGCCTTGGATGAAGTCAAAGCTGCCAGAACCCTCAAACAAGCTAATGAACGGACGGGTCCGTCCTTGAGCCAGGACCCTGGGTTTGAACGTCGCAGACAAGAACTGCTCGCATCTCTCGCAGCTGGTGGCGTTGAAGTAGATTCAAATTTCTCGAGAAAAACTAGTCAATCTCCTCCGGCTCAAGCAGGCCATGATATTAAGACGACAGATTATGAAGATCCTGCGGGAGAGTCGTTGCAATCCCAGCAAGCGGTTGGCACCCAATGGAGGGTCGAACTCCAGGATCGTGCCAACTTGCAGCGCGATTTGCCTGATAACGTCGAGTTGCCACTGGTCGTTGTGTCGCGGGAGGTTGTGGAGCCCGGTTTGGCCAGGCGCGATAGCATGGAGCACACTTCAACTCCTACACAGAGTGGTGGTACAAAAGTTGAGATAAAAGAGTCCTCAATAGCTCCAGAAACAGCAGCTGTCGATATTTCTTCGACATCTCCAAAGCCTCCACTAGCCTCTGATGAGTCGAGCCGGCCGGGCTCCTCGCGACGAGCAAAGCTGGACCTAGGTGCAGGAAAACGACTGCTGTTTGGCGCATTAGGAATCAAGGCGCCCAAGACGAAAAAGGACGAGGAGAAAGTGCGCAGTGACTTCATGAAGGGCGTTCGACCACTAATACTAAAGAAGACTACTGAGGAGCCACAGTCAGACCCTGTAGCTGAAGCGGTCGACGAAGACGAAGACAATTGGAGACATAAGATTAACTACCGGGCTGTGGAATGTGTCCAGGATGATATTTTCTTGAGTGAGCCACCATTTCCT